AGAAGTCTCTCAATAATTTGAGAAGAATCTTTGATATAAAGAGATACACATTTGTAGAACGAAGTAAGTGTTTTCCAAACATTTTATATGTTCATCCTGTATAACAATATAAAGCTGCATAGTGCCATCTTGTGCGTTTGCTATTTTATGCACTTTTCATTGAGATAATCCCTCTTCTCGGGTGATTTTAACAGTCAACTCAATTTTAAAATAAAGATTTCATCAAAATGATTTCGAAATTCGGATATTGATTATATAAATAGCACTGTTAACATATTTTGGATGAGTAAAAAATACCTTGTTTTGTATGCATTTAGTACACCTTTATTTTTGATTAAAACTATAAAATTTTTATTCCTTATATAATAAATAGTATATGTTACATAAACATGAAATTCAATAGCATTCAATTTTGGATTTTTTAGATTTGGTAAATTTTAGAAGAAATAAAATCAGCAATCAAAATAAAGAAACTTTTTTTGTATCTTCTATGATTACCTTTTGGTACTAAATTTTGCATTAATAAGTAAATTATCTGTATTATTCTGTGAGCACAAGCCCTCAGTTATGCTGGTAGTGAATGATGAATCGTCATTTTGCGAAGAGAACGCGATTATTAAGGTAATTTTGAGAATTGTCTTGAATTATTTAAAATTAAAGTTAATTGAATAGGTAGGATAACTCGCCTTTGCTAAATTTGTATAATTTGACCTTATTCTAGTTGGATCTGAGAATATTTTGCTGAAATAATAAATTATATCGCCGATTTATGAAAATTTCTCTGATGGGACCGACTCGCTGAAACGTATTAGTGTTAATGGTAACTTGTCTGAATTTTCAAATTTTTTTCGAAATCCAAAAAATCACAAACAAAAGCATCAAAATTAGATTTGCATTTAAGGTTTTCATTTTTTTTTGGAAAATAAAAATATTTTTCCCCAATAAAGTTTATTTTTACTTTTGAGAGGAATAGAAACGTTATTTTGGAATTTTGAAACGACAGAAATGTTCCATTTTTAATGTAGATTCTAAAATGGGGTCAAATTTTTGATTGAACCGTTATCCATTGAAAAACCTCGATTTTAAAATGTTATTCCAAAATATTCATCTAATGATATAGTATATATTTATTAATTATTACTTTTTATTCAATTTTCACTTTTGGCGGGATTTCATTTTTTTGTTGTTGTATGGGCCATATTGTTCACCCAAAACGGAAAACAAAGGCAATGCATAACATTTTACTCCACGAACGTCGTCGACTCTCAGCGCGACAGATGCTTGGTGCTTGCATAATGACCGGAATGCCATATACAAAAGGTGCTCGCTTTCTTTCTCTTTGTGGAACTAAGCCCCCTGTGAAGAGTGGTGTCATGAGACAACAGAGATTTTGTGACGATAAGATTAGAAGACTTAAAAGTATTTCCCTAATGCTGTCGAGAAAGTCCTTCAGTGGTTACTTATCCATTGATGCAAGATGGACGCACAGGCGAAACTCGCCAAGTTGTACAGTAACTGCGCTCGATGCTGTCACAAAAAGAGTTCTTGCATGCGTGAACATCAACCATATTGGTGGAAACAGACAGCATGCTCAGTATTCCGGAGCTTCCAACAATATGGAAAGTGCTGGAACTCGAATCATCTTGAAGCAATTAAAGAAATACAATATCTTGAAAGATGTTAAAGAGATTATTAAAGACCGAGATAACAAAAGTGTCTCTGTCTTTAAAGAATTTGGCGTCTCTCATCTTGAAAGATTCGATCCAGGTCATGTATCAAAAAATATCTCAAAAGATTTTACAAAGTTCTCAGCTTCTCATAAGACAGTTGAAGTTTTCAACGACAAGACTCAGAAGATTGAAAAAATAGAGAGACCTTTCTGGGGTCTGAATGCAAGCCTAAGTATGTGGCTTTGGTCATGTTTTGCCGAAGAAAATATTGACAAACGTACGAAAATGTGGGAGAATTGTGTCTACCATTACGTAGGCAATCATTCTTTTTGCGAACCGCACAATTACAAATGCTTTGAATGGCAAAAAGGTGTCAATTCGATCCAACTTCAATTCATGCTCTATGACTGGGTTCACAAATGGACACCCATAGTTTCCAAAGTTTCTTCCATTGGATCTACCTGCATGAATGAAGCGTTTAACTCCAAAATTGCATGCTATTTGGACAAATCAAGAGCCTGGAAGAACATTAACATTAGAGTTAACGTTGCAATCTTAGAATGGAATGATCCAGAGCATTTTCTCGGAGATATACAAAAAGCATTACATCTTCCCCCACTTCCAGAAGATTGTGTCAAATCATTTGAAGAGAATTGTTACTCCAAAATGATATTGAAACAAAAAACTGTTACAAAAGGTTCTAAAAAACAGAACAAATACAAAAAATTCATTCAGAGTGTACCAGGAGGAGATTATCAAGTTTTCAAGTCCGAATGGGAATCAGAAGACGAAGACATTGATGACTTTGATTAACGAAAATTACATTTTATTTATTGTTTTTGTTTTTAATTAAATTATTATTATGCTCATTTTCTTATTTTGATTTTTTCTCATTATGATATAAATAATTTATTAATGCATTTATCCAATAATTATGCTATGATATTTTTATGCCTTATTTCATTTCTCTTATATTTGATAATCTGGTAAAATATAGTTCAGACTATAATCATTTTAGATTATTGATATATTTATATAGGTTAGAATAAAATTAGTTTCATTTTCTACTTTTATTTTGAATTAATAATTTATAATATCAAATATTATGGCGTAACCTCTCCTTTAAAATATAGATATATATAGGCCTATAGAGTTTATTGGCACTCTCAAAACTCTAGAATTTTGAGTTTACTATACCCTTAATAGGATAAAAAAAAGAATTTACACTCTCTCACTTTGAAAACATAGAAAATGCCAATCTATTGGTATACATTTTAGTTTTGTTAAGTTTACAAAACGATTACTCTAGATTTTAAAGATTTATCAAGAATTTAGAGAATATCCTTCTCAAAACAACTTCAATAGCGAAGGATTAGTATTGAATCGGATTTGTAACATAATTATAGTACATTACAATACAATTTCTCCGACTTTTAAATATTTTTGAAATATTTACAAAATATGCTCTTTCTATCATCGATACTTTAATACAGAGCAAATTTAGTAAATGTCATCACGTTATTTTTTCATAAATCGTTTTCGAACTTTTGAAATATTTATTTTAAACCAGTTTTCTACATTTAATATGTGAATTATATCAAAAGTAGATGGGCGATACTTGTAAATCTATTTAAACTATTAGTTTGCTATTATTGAAGAACTTTATAATTTTTTTTTTCTTATGTATGGAATTAAAGATAATTTTGCCGATTCCAACTGGTTTTTCTATATGAGTTAAATATGCCAAGTGAAATTGGACTTGCCAATATTGTAAATTGAAGTATGGACTATATATCGATTTTCATTGATTGATGAATAACTCGGAGTAATGTAATTGTTGATAATGAAAAATAGTTTTCAATTGCTGGTAAGGGCCAATGTATGTTCAATAGCTCCGAAAGCAAAAAATGCACGTTTAGAAAAAGACGATAACGATTAAATTACAAAATCGATAACGACGACGATTAAATTACAAAATCAATAATGACCCGGTATTCATCGCCGGAAAAGATATTTCCTGTTTCGCGCATCCATCCAAGGAATGCCTTTTCTTCGTGTTGAAGAATGCCAATGCTTTTGGCGCGGTTAAAGAATAACGGAAGCATATAAAATGAAGTCATTTAACTGCCAATTCAAAATTTCCTGGATATAAATAGTTCTATTTTATATTTACAATCAAAATTTTAAAAATCTGATAACATCATGAGTCTCATTTGACACCCTTTAGAAAATTGAGAAAATCATAAAATTCTCCTTATATTGATTTATGGCATATCCCGATTCGTTTTGAATGATTAATAAATTTTATACATCAAGGTTTTCAAAAGATTACAAAACCGCATAATCAAATTTTATATATTATGCCAATACTAATATTTAATCCAATTTTTCCATAAAATTTTCCATACGATAGAGATGCATTTTTTAAAGAATGACAGCACAAAAATGATGGCTCTAAGTAACAAAAAGTTTCAAGTAGCAGCGCACTCAGTATTTTTAAAGTGTTGTTTCATTTAATTAACAAGAAGTTCAAAGACGACTTACGATTTATATCAAATTGCAAATATTTTATCGAAAAATCTCATACATGCTTAAGTTTGTTTGTAATTTGTGATTTTATGTGAACACATATGTTATTTGCATCTAGAAATTCCTTGATTAATCAGAAAATATTAATAACTCTATCTTTCATTTAACACACGCACCTAATATTCCTTTTAGGTTCAATAAACTAATCACATTAAAATGTTCTTTATATAATATTTTTTCATTAATCCATCTGTATACTTTGATATCTTCTTAATAAATTTAAATGTTTCAATGTTAAAAATAAAATTATTTTCATAATTAGATTCTACACGAGATCTGGACGCAAATAGCAAGATTGCTCACATAAGTTATATTATTTAATGATTTACGCTATGTAAAGAAATAATGTAAAGAAATTCACACGGTTGATTGATTAGTGTTAACCATTCATGCTATATAATATCGAATACAGATTAAAAGGTACGTGTGAAGTACTTCACTATTTCAGCATCATTTTTCGTCTTCATTTAATCTTAAAAATGAAAACCATTATTTGTTACCAATTATTGTATTATATGGGTGTTTAATTTATACCATAGAAACAGTAGTTTCTCTAAAGATATTAAAAAATACAAAAAAATTATGAGAAACTTGATTTAAATTAATCGTCCCTGTAATTAGAGCTAAAAGATCATGTAAGGAAGTCTTTAATTCTGAAATATCAATGAGAATTAAAAAAATCAAAATAGAATTTTACCGAGAAATGTTTCAAATAAACATAATTTTATTACAAAAATATTCTTATTCAAATGGTGTGAGGATTGATTTCGGAAGAAGTCCAACACTGTCGTTGATATTCTTACAAAGATAAAATTCTTCGTCTTGTTCTTTCATTCCGCAAACAATTTCACCTTTGTATGCATTGAGATGGCCAGAGATGCCAGTGTAGTCTTCCGTAACAGAGAAAAGTTGAACATTTCCGGATTCGACTTCTTTCTTGAATAATTGATCTTTTGTAAGGAATTTCGAAGCAAGTGGATGAACATTCCATGGTTGGAAACAGTCATCTGTCTGAGCTGGCCTGAATTTCTCAAATTGTGCAATGATGCTTGAATCTGATTCAAGAGGCAATTCTTGGACGATAAATTCAACATCTGATGATGAAGTAACAAAATAGTTACCAATATTTGTTAATGTCGAAGCAAAATCTAGTAATATGGATTTAACCTCTTCAGTTCTCCAGATTTCGTGTTCTTCTATCTGAGAAAGTATCGATTCGATGTTCTGAGTGATTGATTCCGCAATTTGTATTGACTCATTATTGACTTTTATAGCATTAAATCTCGCTTGTTTGAAATCTTCAATAAGCTTTGAAAGATCTTTGACTCCCTTTGCTTCAGCGTCTTTAAGGGCATTTCCTGCATCAATGAACTTAGTGCGAGCTTCTTTATTCGCCTTTTTTGCGCGGTTATATTTTGTTAATTCTTCAACAATATTGTGCTTGATTGTAGATATTCTGTTAGAATAGTGAGCATGCATTGATTCTAGCTGTTTGTTGGCGAATTTCTTCAACTTGTTTGTTGCATGTTCATAAGAATTTACTTGGAGCAAAAACTTTACGCTGATTTTAGGAAATCTCTTAAAAATTTCAGAATGAAACTCGTGACTATCAGCAGGCTTATCTTTATCATGGAAAACAAGAGGGTCAAATGCTAAATTTGCGATTTTTGTTTTCATGGCTTCAAAATCACCTGCATATTCGATAATATATTGCTGGAGTGTGCTGACAATTTGACTGTCTTTTTGAACTGCTTGATCTAAGATCTCCGGTAGTTCTTTATATGATGTGAAAGTCTCAGACATTTTTTATAAATTGTAAACATTTCAATATTGAATAATATAAAATAATCATTAATTCTATACCATAAAATTATTAATGATTAAAATGAGTTTTTCTTCGGAAAATTGAATAAGTTGATTTCATTTTCGAAAAGTTGATAAAAAACTTATTCGGAGGGAATGTTTGGTCAAAGATTTTTAAGTTTGCATCAAATCCTAATATGAAAAACTGAAGATAATTCAATTTCGATGAAGAGATTCATTTCATAAAATCAGAAAATCCAAAATATAGAACATTAAACCTAAAATATATGTTCTTTGATAGAAAGAATATCATTTCCTCATTTTGGAGCTAGAATTGAACAATTCACTTTCGAATTGAATAATTTTTTTTACAAAACTTCACGATTACTGATTTTCCCGTAGAACAAGATTCAAATAAATTATTGATTGATTTAAACTTATCGAAATTCCCAAAAAGTTTTGTTTTGAACAAATTACAAATAAATTGGAGAATAAAGAAATCCGTAATAATAAATTTTTGAATCTAATCATTTAAAAAATATAATCAAAGAATTTAATTACGCTCTCCGCGGATTCTCATGGCAAGTTGAACATCACGCTCCATGATTGTAACTCTGTTAGCATGGATAGCGCAAAGGTTTGTATCTTCGAATAAGCCTACAAGGTAAGCTTCAGCAGCTTCCTGGAGGGCAGCAATAGCTGATGATTGGAAACGAAGATCGCCACGGAAACCAGAAGCGATTTCTCTTACAAGACGCTGGAATGGAAGCTTACGGATAAGGAGATCTGTAGACTTCTGATACTTACGAATTTCACGAAGGGCAACTGTACCTGGACGGAATCTGTGTTGCTTCTTAGCACCCTGGGAGTCAACTGTTGGAATAGCCTTGCGGGCGGCCTTGGCACCGAGAGACTTACGTGGGGTCTTGCCACCTGTTGTCTTTCTAGCTGTTTGCTTAGTACGAGCCATTAGAAAAATAATTAAAAACCGATATTTTTCATAGAATTTGGTAATAAATTTTGTCGTTTTGCGTCTTTGGATTTTGAATGTAGGTAAAATTTTCCAGCTCTCAAAAAGTGTAGGCAAACTAGTTTACGATGAAAATTTTATTGCTTGTATCTATTGATAGCAATTTGTATGATTCTTCTGATTATAATGGTTTTGTAGATTTTGGGAAATTGAATTTTGCATGGAAAAATTTTATGAGAATGAAATTTGAAGGAAATGACTTGTCTGAAGAAGTTCTTTGTATCTTTAGCGTCAATTTTGTGTATTGGTAATAATTGCCCTTCATGATAACGAGTGCAAGGGAAATGAATGAAAGTATCAAAGGCGAGTAGAAAGGATATATCTCTGGATAACCTTTTTTTGGTATTATTGTCAGAAAATTATAAAAAGTAGCTGATCATTTAGATTGGTAGTGGTAAAGCTATTAATCTATCTTAGCTGTATCTTTGATGTTAATTTTGAGCGTTAAATGCTAACTATGCCTATTGAAAAGTCAGAAAAGATAAGTTCATGAAATCATGGAGTCTTTGTATAAATAATTGGAAGTCGATTGCTTATCTGATAGGATGGGAAAATGAAAGCTAGCAAGTCGTTCTGTCAAGCGGGTGATTGACAAAAATTAGGAGAAATGGATAGATAGTCAACCAGAGGATATTAGAATTTGTGACTACAAATGGCGGTGAACTAGCTTGAGTGGTATCTTTGCTGAAATAGGATCAGGATGTATCTAGAATGAGTCCAAAAATTAATGAAAAATATGGCGCCATAAATTGAGATCAAACGTCCATTTTCAATTCAATTTTTAATATTTTTGGCGGGATGTGAATTAATAAAACGGATATAAAGGAAATATATCAAATTGATCAAAAATGAAAGTCTGTATGCATATTTACTCCCTTTCGATTCGATTACGCAAGATATTGAAGTAAATAGGACCGATTTTTACAAAGAAAACTTGGGGTTCTGGTGTATGCACCTGGACTTGAAGCCTTCAAAGGGAATAGTCCGAATAATTTAAACATCTGCAACTTCCTGATTTTCCTTCTACTGTTTGTTCTAGAATTAGTTCAATGATGTGTAGAATGTTGACTTAAGGAGTATTCAATTCCCTTTTGTAGAATCTGAAGAAAAAATAATTCAAGATTGTATTAACCAATTCTCATCAAACACAGTATTCATCATATAAGAATTGAGTATGAAAACCTAACTATTAAAAGTCTTTAATTGAATAATAAATAAAAAATATGTTTAGAGTTTGTGTCTAGATCAATGTATCTTCCTTTTTACCGAGATCGATCTTTTCGTCTGTTTATGCCCAAGTTGGAAAGCTAGTAGGATAGTAATAATTCTTATCTCTTGCTTGGGATGCGGTTTTAAATAACTTAAAGGTCCAATATTCATTGAAATATCAAAACTAGAATGCGTTTTGATTTTGCAAGTTTCATTGATAAAATGTCAAAGCCGATTCAAAAATTTACATCGAATTTATGATATTTTTGTTATGTATTGCTTTTGGGATATTTTGAAACTTTAATTGAATTTTCATAAATTTTTTGAATGAAAAATGAGCAATTGATGGGTATCGTAATATTTTGCATCTGATATTGCCTTTATTAAGCTTTCTAGATACCTATATTAAGCTTTGTATAAATATATTTACATATGTAGTTGAATTCTAACAAATAGAATTATATCGAAATATCTGGGTCATGATTGATTTTGTAATTTAATCGTCGTCGTTATCGATTTTGTAATTTAATCGTTATCGTCTTTTTCTAAACGTGCATTTTTTGCTTTCGGAGCTATTGAACATACATTGGCCCTTACCAGCAATTGAAAACTATTTTTCATTATCAACAATTACATTACTCCGAGTTATTCATCAATCAATGAAAATCAATATATAGTCCATACTTCAATTTACAATATTGGCAAGTCCAATTTCACTTGGCATATTTAACTCATATAGAAAAACCAGTTGGAATCGGCAAAATTATCTTTAATTCCATACATAAGAAAAAAAAATTATAAAGTTCTTCAATAATAGCAAACTAATAGTTTAAATAGATTTACAAGTATCGCCCATCTACTTTTGATATAATTCACATATTAAATGTAGAAAACTGGTTTAAAATAAATATTTCAAAAGTTCGAAAACGATTTATGAAAAAATAACGTGATGACATTTACTAAATTTGCTCTGTATTAAAGTATCGATGATAGAAAGAGCATATTTTGTAAATATTTCAAAAATATTTAAAAGTCGGAGAAATTGTATTGTAATGTACTATAATTATGTTACAAATCCGATTCAATACTAATCCTTCGCTATTGAAGTTGTTTTGAGAAGGATATTCTCTAAATTCTTGATAAATCTTTAAAATCTAGAGTAATCGTTTTGTAAACTTAACAAAACTAAAATGTATACCAATAGATTGGCATTTTCTACGTTTTCAAAGTGAGAGAGTGTAAATTCTTTTTTTTATCCTATTAAGGTTTTTAAAAAATTTAATTAACTTAATTTATATGATCTGAAATATATGACAAGTTAATATGGAGAATTCTTTCAACCCAATTTCAATTTATTGAATTTTCTATTCGAATTCAAAAATTTTCCCAAGAAGAAAAAATAATTAGGAAATTTAATATGTTAATACATAAAATATTTTATTTATTCAAAGAATTCAATTTTCTATTGGATCAAAAAACTTGTGTTAAAGTTCGTATTTTAAGATAACTATACTTTTAGAAGCTGTTTTTATTTTTTTCACCGGGATTTTATTAATTTAATTCTTTCAAAATTTGAATCTTATTGTATATCACCGGACTATGATCATAATAGAGTTGCAATCTCTAATTATAGCCACATTAGTACTCGTGGGTCGATATATCATGGGAGATACAAAATTATTTGAATTTTCTTTTATTTTTTTAAAAAATATTAAAAAAAGTAAATAAATAACTAACAACACAGCATCACTTTTCGTAAAATGCTTTAATCCTAGTCCTTTTTCCCCTTAATTTTTCAATCTCTCCCAGGTTGAAATTTATTCCGGGAATTTTTAAAGATGCTTGGTCAACATAAAATTTCATTAAATCTTCCACAGGAGTCATAAACTCTGAACATTTGAAGCGAGCATGAACTGCATCATTCAAATTTTTAAGAAGATTTTTGTTCGAAAAGTGATTCAATACGGCGATTACATGAATACAAGGTAATCCGTATAATTCGATGTGCTTACATGTGCATGAATATTGTGAATCTGACATAATTTTTACGCAATATGTATAGCGACCAAAAGTTGCATAATATAATTCTTGAATTGGATCATATAATACCGAGCTAAACATATCTGAATGTTTCAAAGTTTCATTTAGATTTTTGATAATATTATCTGATTTAAAATCACCTGTTAAAACATTTTTAACAAGATTGAATTCATGTTCAATGAGACGGATAATTAGTTCGGCGGGTTCATATGTATCCCATTTATCTTTAATTTCGGCATTAAGGGATTCAATAAGAGATGTTGTGAGTATGCCAGCGGTGTAGTCAGCGAATCCTTCAAATGGGTTAATACTATCTAAGTACTTAAAGAGATCCTGATTATTTTCGCGGTTTGGATATTCCTCTTGTAAACGAGTTTCTAACTTTTTAATCAAGTCAATTCGTTTTTGAGGATGGTCTGCGTAAGCGACTTCAACAATTTCGGAATAGACATTGATGTATTCCCTTTTTGTTGCAAAATGACGTAAGCAAAATTTATGATCGCAAGAAAAGCCTGATTCTCTAACAGCAGCTATAATTGCCGGACCTTGATCGGAATAAATATTCTTGAATCTGCTTGGTGGAATAAAAGATTTCAATTTAGTGAGCATATCCTTAATTGTTATCGTATTTTCACTAACAGACCATGCAAATGCAATAGGGATAAGTCTATTATTTGGTGCAGGTGTACCAATAATGAGTAAGTTTCCTTTTTTAATACAAAATAAAAACGTTCCATCAATTTGAATTATTCCGCAAAAAGCTTGTGTTTGCATGTAAAAATGAGTTATTGGAGGAATTACAATAAATGAATAAATTTGAAAGTCTTTTGAATTTTCAGGTAATTCATCACCTTTCTTAAATGTATGCAATTCAATTTCATTGTTAACTTCTTTAACTAAAATCATTTCGCAGAATCCTTGTTCGATTTTGTTTATGATTGAAAAAATTGTTGAGAAATAATTGTAAGATTGAATTCTATCCCCTTTTGTGGTTCCTTTAAGTTTATTTACTATATTATGGAACATCGTATAAGTTGCATTGGGAATATTCAATTCTTTTGCAAAAATTTCTTTGCATTGAGGAACATTATCAGAATTTGCTAATTCATAGACTTTTTTTCCTGCTTGCAACTTAAGAATTTTTGGTATATTGTTACTCGGCTTGCATTGCTTTGCTCTATGCTCGTGTTTAATTACTGGAATGAAGAAAAGTTGACCATTTTCATGAGTCTTTACAAGCTCCATGCAAAATTGGCAGTTAGGACAACGAAACTTTTTTCCTTGCTCAAAATTTAATGGATAAAAAGAATTATATGAATCTTTTGCAATAAATATAGCAGCTTCTGTAGGATCTGTAAATTTTAATTTGCTATATCTTTCCTTGAGAATTGGAATTGGGGATTTTCGGGTATTTCCATTTCTATTTTCAATTTTTTACGGGAATTCAATTCATTTTGAATTAAATCCAGCATATCAGCTCCATCTCCTTTTTCTTCATCAACAATAGCTTGGATGGATACTGATATAGTTTGATTCTCTTCCACTATTGTCGGTTCGCTTTCCGACATGAGATAAAATTGAAGGTTTAACGTACTTTTGATACTCTGAGTTAAAAAAAGATTTTCTTAACATAATTTGATTTATTGGTCCTTAAAAAATTCTGATTCAAAATTGAATTGAATCGAACGAGTTTTCCTTTTGAGTCATTTCAAATATTCATGAGAAAGAAAAAAAATTCTAGCAATTTCAAATATTTTTGATTTGATTGAATTCAAAAGTGTCACAAATATTCAATGAGAAAGAGAAAAGAGATCGAATATGTTGTTTCTGAGCGAATAGTCAAGCAATATTTCGTTAAGTACAAAGATCAGCATCCGGAAAAAAATAAATGGGTATATCAAAATGAGATTCCGCAAGAAATATTTGAAAAATATCTAGAAACGAAGAAAACAGAAAATATTGATGAAATGTTACGCTGTACTCGAATTGTTCATGTTGTTGATCAAGATAAAAAAGAATTTTATCTTGAATTTTCAAAAAAAATCAAATTCATCACATATTAAACAAGAATCTAGATGAAGAACATCAAAAGGCTTATATAGATTATCTTGAAAGTTTACTCAAACTTGAAATAAAAAATAAAAATTAAATTAAATTAACCCTCGTTAGGATATCGTTGCAAATAAAGATCTGTTTCTCAGAAAGATCTTGATTTTCTGATAAATATTCTGTTGTAACTTCTACAAGAGTTAGTATGGCTTAGTTGGGTACTGTGGCACTGCGCACCTACTTACCCACGATATGTGAATTTGACACTTTACAAAACCGCTAACATATATTTTATAACACAAACGACAACACTAACTTAACCTTAAATATTTACAAAACCACCAACCACTTCACCTCACTAACGAACTCACTAATGAAAAAATAAACGTTCTCATAAATTTTCTTTTATATCTTCATCGTCAATGTTAACCCTATTGTAGTCATACTTGAAGTCATAAAGTTTCTCAAGTTTTGAAATGCATAGTCTTGTTAACTTACCTTCATCATCATAAGTTTTTATAAAACTACCATGACAATCTTTATACACAGTCAATGTATAATCTACTGGTCTAGGATGAAGTGTAAAGAACATGTTATACTCAGGAAGGAAGAATAAATGTTTAAATGTATGTTTGTTATATTTTTCGATTTGTATGAGTTGCTTTTGTTCTGTCATTTATATAAAAACAAAATAAAAATAAAATAAAAAAAATAAACTTAAAAATAAATGATATCACCACCCTCACACGTATGAAAACATAGCGCAAAAATAAATTTAGGTGAAGTGGTGAGATCTCACCTGTTTTTTCACCTCTTTTTTCACCCTGTTGAATTCATTGCTTTATAACTCTCTTCCTTGGTTTCTTTTTAGTTGCTTTCTTCACGTCTGTCTCCAACTTGACTGTCTTTCTTCTTCGTCCATAATGATACCAGTTACTTCCACCAGTCAATGGGTCAAATGGTCTTTCGTAAGGGTTTCCATACATTCCATAGGGACCATACGGAAGAACTACTGGTGGAGAAGAAACATTTTCTTTAGTTCCATCGAATCTATTTAAATGCATTGTTTCACCTTTCATCTGGTCATTAAAGTCTTTTGCGTGTTTTGCAAACTCATTGTCCTTTCCTAAAGCATTTTCTGACTCAGTCGCAACCAAATTGGATGCTTTATTTATGAGCCCTATTTTATTTAATCTTAACTTCTTTGCAACCCAGCCTCCAATCTTCCCTTTATTTGCATCTAATGTCTTCGAAACCCTTCCTCCACTCATTTTATTTACTGCGTCATAAGCTCCAAGTGCTTTTGCTCCAAATGCTAATGCTTTTGTTCCCATTGCGCCTAAAGCTGCCCAAGCTACCATTTACACCATATTAAAATCATCTCTCTTCAATATTATCTCATAAAAGTTCTCGTTACTGGAGAAAGTCAATAAAACATAAGCGTTCTCACGGGCTTCGCCCTCACCGCTTTGCGGTCTATCTAACTTATTTCTTATATCATCTATACGCTTCAAAATGTCTGAACAATTGCTAACATCTTCTACAACAGTTATTTCATCATGAATGACCTTCAAGAACAAGCTCATTTAATATGCTATTAAAATCATCTCAATAATGAGTCCATCCTTTCCATCTTTGGGTAGCACAACATCTTTCATTGAAGAAGGTTCGACAAGTCTTATATTAAACTTACTGACAAAGTTTGTTATACTATAATGCTTCGGCGGCGAATACATGTAGTTTGAAAGACATAATATAGATTCTTCAGCAAATTCACTTATACTGGATTTTATAACAATGTTCTCACGAGACCAAATGCCACCAATTGACAATCTTGTAAGCAATCCTGCTGAACCTTCTACTGTAAACGTCGATAGTAACATTCCACGAAGGTCATCTATTGACATCGTTGAGTCACTGAATTTAAATATTTTCTTAAAGCAATCGTCATTATCTAACCATGCAATAGCTTTGAAGTTTTCATTCGAATATACATCTGCTTCATTAAATGTAAAACCCGACTTCTTTGCAGAGACGACTTTAAAATCTATTGAGTTTGTTTCAAATTATATGCTATGGTAACTTCTGAAGGTAATGGATGTCCTTCCGCAGTCAGTTGTTCTCTCACTACCGTTTGAAGCTTTGTATTAAAAACTTTCATGTCATCTCCTGTATCTAAGTTCACATACACAGCAACAGGGAAACTATCTTGCTTCTTTGTTTCATCATTATATCTCAAAACATTAAAGTTCTTCAATAATATTGTCCTTCCTGCTGGAATACTTCGAACCTGTCTGATTTCAATAGCTTTCTCACCTCCTACATACTCTACCCAGTGTCTTGGATATTCATAAGTATACTGACTTTCTTGAATTTTGGTAGGTTTCATCATAACGTGTTCATAGTATATCTTTATACTCTTGTCAGTTAGACTCGGTGCTATGTTCTGAATATTTCTGACTTGCATTTTTAATGGAGATAAAATGAAGCATTTAATACATGACGTAGATGAAGACATGAATGAAACTACAGACAAACTTAACTCTTCTCTTATTCTTCCTTTCAGCAAAGATTATGAGTTCTGTTCAAATGGTGTGTATTTCTATTGTGGAAAGATGGGTTCAGGTAAGACATTAACCTCATTCGTCATATACTCATAACAGAACGTTTAGGAAATGACTCATATTATGACCAAATCATTATATCAGCAACTTCAGACTCTATGGACTCAACAGCGAAAACATTTATGTCAAAAGTTCAAGCCTCTGTCGTTAAAGTTCCAGACAGTGAACTCATTGAATTTCTTCAACGTTACATTCGACGTAAGAGGAAATATTATGCCATCGTTGAATTTATACAGTCAGGAATGCAAAAGACTTCTGAGGAGATGGAAAGAATTATTGACAAAACCAACTTACGTCAGTACTCAGGAGTTTACGATATGAAACGACTGACAAACTACATTCTATCAAAACTTTCAAAATACCCCTTCAAAAAATATCCTTCAAACACTCTGCTCGTTTGCGACGACTTCGCCGGAAAAGGTTTAGTTTCAAAAACCAGACTCACCATTAGCTAACATCATTACTAAAGTCAGACATTACCATTTAACTGTAGCAATACTTATGCAAACATGGAGGTTTTTAGCTTTAAACATAAAACGTCTCATAACTGACTTCGTTATCTTTCAAGGTTTCTCACGCTATGACATTGAACTCATTTGGAAACAGTCAGGTATAACATTACCCTTTGAAGAAAATTTGGGAAGCATATAAGTCTCTCATCTCTCCTCGTTCATTACCTTGAGATTCATATCATGACTAATACCATTAAAGTCAAAAATATTCCATGGGAACGACCAACATTATTTTAAAGTTTAACCTTCAATTGACTGATGGTAAACAAATTCCATGCATCTCTGTCGCCATTTCTGTTAATATTTTTGCTGTCATTCATATCATCCACTTCCCCATCCGTTAGCTTTTGAGGATATGCGTTAGAATAGCTGTTCTTAAATGAAGGCTTTTCACCTTTGAGAGCATAAACTCTATAACTTTCTGCATACTTTATGTTTGAACCTCCCGAGCCATCATTGACATAAATTTTTATAGGCTTCCACCCATTGTTCATGTTCCTGCTTCTTCCCTTTGCTCTTTTGTTCAGTAGTTCTACATCTTTATACACAGCTTCTGTCTCAGTGAATTCAACAATATTTTCATTCGTTAGCTTTACATTCAAACCCTTGTCGAGTATATTGTTCATTTCATACATATAAAAGGTTTTTATTCTATATGAAATGAGAAGCAAATCCATCTTAGCTGGTGCCGTTAATGTTCCAATTGAACCAACATCAAATGTTGACTCACGAACGACAAACAATATTGTCATAAAGAACTATAGTTCAGAGTGTTTGAAAGAAAAAGAACCAGAACTTAAGTCGGTGAATTTAAACACAGCTTCAAACGCTAACGCTACATCAGATGTTAAGTTAGAGTATCCACCACTGACCAAATTCTTTCAAGAGAAGCCAACGACAACCCTTACACAAATGTTCAAACAAATCCTTCAGATAACGTAGACCATTACCTTCTTCAGTTATACCAAACAATTTTACTCAAAGACGATAAGAAGCTTTTGACAAATCTTATAAGCAAGAACCAATAATTCTAACAAAGGAGGACCTTGAAAATGTTATCTCACGAATAACAGGGAAACAATGTGTCATTGATTATCTCGACCCTGAAATCGAATGCTGTGGTCAAACTCCACTATTCATGAAAATAGGTAACATCCGCATCATTGAAACACCAGGAACTACAGGAGTTGAGTTTAAGTATAAATATTCGAATGAATATACAAAACTTTCAACAGAATATAAACTTTGTTTGAAATATGTTTAGTAAATTAAAGCAGTCAGGACCTTCGGTCTTGGCGCTTTGCGCCGTCAGTCAAAAAAATTTCAAGTTAGCAATTTGTAATATCTATCCAAAACTTCTTCAACAGTATCGAACTCATCTTCATAATGCAAACCTAATCTTATTGACTTGGTGCAGTTTTCACTAACACAATATTTTTCTGTTCTCTTGACTGACATAACTAATTCATTTGTTTCATCAAACAGCAACAACCAAAGTTCATGACCTAATACATAACATTCATACTTTATTTTTTTAGCTCTGAGTTCTCTTGTAAGCTGTTGCATTTAATATTTTCTAAAAAGTCAACTTCAACAGTCATTCGCACTGGTGCCTTCAGTTCTACAGGCTCTCCTTGAAAGTCAACAAGTCTGAATGCATGTCTTTCAAATTATGAGGACTAATGCGAACCATTTACCTAAATGAGTTGCTATGACAGGAACGTTTGGAATGAACATTGAATTGACTGCATAACAGAAGGATTTATATTCTACTGAACCTTTACTATTAACTCCTGAAATGCCTGTGACATTAGCTATTTTAGACTCAATGTATAAACAATTACCATAAACTACGTATGGAACAGATTTCATCTCAATCGTTTTGTCAACACTTTTCAAAGGAAATGTCATATGGTATGCACCCAAAAGAAGTTGTACTCTATGACTCATTCTTGGTATCTTAAACTCCTTCACATAACTGAACTTCAAAACTCCTGCAATAAGTTTAACATTCATTAAGTTTTCTTCGTTATCCTTGTTTATTGTAGTATTTATGAGAGCATTTAACACTCCAGCTAATGTTTCCATCTTATTTCTACATTATTGTGAAATCTTATTTCGTGCTTCTTTCCATCTATTTCAATCTCCATGAAATCTGTTTCATCTGTTATAACGAATGAAGCGATAGTATTGAAGTCAACCATTCTGAATGCAAGCGCCTCATTCTGTAGACCTAAGTTTGTTTGTAGCTTTACTGTCCCGTATTCGGTTGGGTCTGTACTTTGCAAATAGAACAACATTTATTCTCATTAAAATATGAGTATAGCTGCATATGCGTATGAAGCTGACAGAGCTAAACGTTTATATTTTGGTCAATACTCTCTCACACTTACTGACAAATATATTCTTATCACTGATGGAAATACTGAGAAATACATAAATGGAAGGACTATGAAAAGTTTTGACCCTATTTTAACTCCATGTACTATGCCGTTTATAAAGGACGGTGAAATTATTGAAAAAGATAATACAACCGTATATAGGTCTGTTTATGAAGCATTAGAATATATGTTGAATCATAACCCAAAAAGATTTGACCCAAGCACTACACCATGTGCAATGCCTTTTATTAAGGACGGTGAAATCGTAAGAGTTCCGGATTAAACGGTTTACACAGCTGTTCAAAACAGTTTACAAAACATTTTAGCGAATATCTTTAATTCAGAAACTACAGAAATAAAATTACCGTATATAACAGATGCTAAAGAAATTAAATCAAAAACGACAACATTATTTACGCCACTTAATGATTTAATGACTTATATCATTAATATTCCTGCACCAACTACAGCATTTGATCCAAACTCGACGGTTTGCAGTGTACCTTTCATAAATGACAGTTCATTAATACTTTAAGGGATTCGACAGTAAATGAATCATTAAAGGCGTCATTAATGAAAAATCATTGATTTTAATTCATTCACGAATACATATAATTCATTCATTAATGTTTCATATGCTTCTAAAGAAGGTGAGCCAAAAACTATTGATAAAGCGGTGTATGAAATAAAAGCATCAACGACGAAATTGAATTCGTTAACTTTTGACGGTGATAGTTTCGTTAATGACATAACATCGGGGAAAACATTTTAACGAAAGATATTTAAAATCTCATGTTAGTGAGTTCGTTGAAATTGAAAAAGAAGGTGGAATTAAGTTCGATCCACTGAATTTCATTTTCAGCTTAGCGAATGCGGGTGTTAGTTTTCGCTGAATGGACAACTATACAGAGTGAAATAAATGCATATGGACGTTTTTGGGGTCAAAAGCGGGAATGGGTGAGCTTGTAAATGCTGCAAGAACATTAGGTGAAACAGGAAATTTTGTAGATGGTTTTAAAAGACTTGTTTCAAATGTTTTAACAAACACAAAGAAATTATTTAGATATACCGTATATAACGGACGGATTTTCGAACAGATAGCAACAAACCCTCCGGTTATGGCTGCGTTGATGATGGTTAGAGATATAAAACCACGTAACGACGGGAACGAAGAACATGAACAACAGGATACTAGTCGGGTTATTCGAGACATTAAAAACGTGTATCCTGAAGTTATTGATTTATTTAGAGGAGTTAATGATTCAATTTCAAAACATTCTATAACCCTCGATGAAGAGAATAAATTAACAGATTATATATTCGTCATTATTGCAGAATTAATGAAGAGAATAAATGAAAAAGGAATTGGTGATATCATTAATGTCAGCGATGTAATGATGAAAAGAAAATTTGACTCATTATTTACAAAACCGAAAACAGAATATAGTCTTTATGACGTAATTACTGAATTAATGAAAAAGATTAATGATAATAAGAGTTCTGGCGGAAGAGTTGAATTAGAAGTGAATGATGTTAATGAGAAATTAGCCGAAAAAGCAGACAAAAATGAGCTTTTAGCTCTGAGTGATAAAGTCAAGAACCACGTTCATTATATAACTTCAGACGAACAGATTATAACGGACTACCATGGATATTTAACACAGGATGAACAAATAAGCACTGAAGATGTTAATGAAAGAAGATATAAATTCATTCGTGCTAAAGGTTATGACATAAGCTGTACTGTACAGTATGACACAGGTAAAGCACCAGAAGCATTTGGTTATAACGATGAAATATATGCTTCATACTTCTCTGTTAACGGTGTATTAGTTGAACCAAGATTTACTTTGAGAGTTAAGTCAAAAATAACGTTTGAAGATGCTATTAAAAGTAAAGCTGACAAAGTTGAACTCGAAGCAATGAACAAAGTTTTGAAATCTCATAAACACAACATCTCCGATATAAATGAACTTCAAGCTACATTAGACAGTAAAGCCGACAAGAACCATACACATGAATCCTTCACTACTGTTAGAGCAGACGACATAATATAGGGTGTCCAAAGGTGTGTTTAGCACAAACCTGAATACTGCGAATAGAAATAAACAAGTTACATATATATAAAGTTTATTTAAATATAATCACCATTGGATTCAATCACGCGTTCGCAGCGATCGATCCAGGCTTGAAAGACACGCTTTAAATCATCATGAGAAAATTGCTCAAATTGCTCTCTTACAAAATTTTCAAGATCATCTGGACTCGCGGAATTCGCGTCCTTCAGCTCTCTTTTTTAGCGTGCCGAATAAATAAAAGTCAGAGGGTGCAATATCAGGTGAATAAATTGGGTTTGGAACAACTTTGACATTGTTTTCCACCAAGTAATTCATTACCTTATGACTTTTGTGAACTCTTGAATTATCAAAATGAATTGCAAACTTTTGTTTTTGTTGTTTGGATTTCTCAAACTCATCAGAATTGATAATTTGAGTAAGAAATTGTCAATTAGATACTGAGCATTCATCGTATTAGGTTTTTGAAGAATATCAATTGCGATGATGCCATTCACGCCCCAAAAAACCGACAACATCATCATTGGTGTGTCAATTTTTTTCTTCGGGAATGTTTGCGGATTTTCATCCTTCGGGATCCACATGATTTTGGCTTCTGTTGCATATTGAAACCAAGACTCGTCCCCTGTTACTAAAAAGAGAAACTTCTTGGATTGATACGCACCCAATATAGAGAGGAGCTCTTTCGAAGATTGGACTTTAGATTTTTTTTGAACTGAATTAAGGTTGTGCGGAACCCAACGTGTATACGCTAGTTTGTAGTTCAAATAATTGTGCAGATAATAACTGACTGTTGTACGTGGTATCTTTGTCATCTCCTCTATCCTTCTGAGTGATGCTCTTGGGTCTTCATCTAGCGCTTGAAGAATTGCTTTGATTTTTCTTTGATCCGGCGATTTTTTGTCAATTTTTATGATGGGCACCTTTTTGTTCATGAAGTGATACATCCTAACATGATACGTTACAGTGGAATAGCTAAGAGCATCCATACCGAAGCATTTTACCAATGTCTCGTAGATTTTTTTACAGTCTTTGCATTTTTTTGCAAGAGCGAGGATGTTTTCTTTATGATTCATTAAAAAATGAAAAAAATCCCGCCAAAATTTCCCGCGAAACCGCCTCTTGTCTCAAAATTCATTTTATATCCCGGCATGGCGCCAAAATACAACATACTCATCATATACATATATTCATATTTTTTATTATATATTTATAATCAGCATATATCTCCTTTAATAGTCTCATATAGAGCGCTGTGCTAAACGCACCTTTGGACACCCTATATTGAACTATACCCTTGGTTCAAGTGCACCTTTAGAGAATCCAAGTACAAGCGTAAAAGATACACTAAACTCCTTAAATAGTAAATGTATGAACATTGAAGGTCATGTCAGAAACTTTGAAACACATGAACTACCAGCAATGTTAGATAAAAAAGCAGATAAAGAACATACACATAACTCCTTCTCAACTGTTGCTATAGAAAGTATTGAAGGAACGGTTGGCGGAACTGGTGGGGATGCATTATATTATAAACCTCCTAACTTTCCACAAGGTTTAACATCGAATGAAAACATAACAACGAAGAAAGAAATTAGCTGTAAAAATGTTTATGTCATGGATGATGAAAATAATGTTAAATTCACTGCTCAAGATTTATATGATAAGAAAGCAGACAAAACAGAGCTTCAAACATTAAAGACTGAAATACTTCAAACATTATATCCTATAGGCTCTATTTATACGTCAATGAATTCAACAAATCCAGAAACAGTTTTAGGTTTTGGTACGTGGAAGCAGATTGTAGATAAATTCTTATACTGTGCTAACTCTTCAAAGCAAACAGGAGGTTCGAAGAAAATTAAAGAAGCAAACCTTCCACCGCACACTCATACAGAAACTACAAACTTTTCTGGCGACCATAGCCACTCATTAAGAGACCACCCATTATACAACTCAGAGTATGAAGCTGGCCATGACGTTTTATCTCCATCTTATAACAATGCAGCAAAAAAGATTTTTCGACCAACTGAACCAGGAGGAAATCATTCACACACTTTCACAACAAATCCAACAGGCTCGGGTGAAGATTATATGCCACCATTTGTGACTATATTCACATGGTACCGCGTTCAATGAACGCGCTTGAGCCTAGAATAAAATCTTTAACTTTACATAAATGAGCTTGAAAGAAGTATTCGAACAACATCCATGGAGGTCATTTAAGAAGTTCAATGAAGCTGCAAAGAGTTGGGGATTTACTCACAGAGCTGAAGTGAAAAGGTTCTTTGACAAAAATGTTGTACATCAAACAAAAATAAACCCTTACGACTACTTTTTACCAATTTACTCCAACGCTCCTGACGCATACCAATTTGACACTCTCATTCAAAGCAGAAAAGGAGGACATAAACCATTCCTCATCTTCATTAATGTTAACACTCGTAAAGCATATGCATATCCAATGAAAAATAAAGGAACTCGTGAAGTGTTAAGAGTTTTACAAAAGTTTGTAGCAGAACATAGCCCAAGTACTTTAACATCAGACCAAGACAGTGCATACCTCAGCAATGAAATCACAGAATTTCTCATTAAGCATAACATAACTCACTACACTACTGAAGACCATAACCATAACATACTCGGCATCATAAACCGCTTCATAAGAACGCTCAGAGATTTAAACCAAGAGCGAGACTTTACCGAAGAAACAATGAAACATTTCATCGAAGTTTACAATTCCTCAACACATTCTACAACAGGACATACACCAAATTCAATGACACAACAACAAGAAGAAAAGTATATACAAAAGAAACGAAGCCAAACACAAAATATCAGAAATTCAACACAATTTACCCTCATTCCTGGTACAAAAGTTCGTGTAGTTCTTGACGACAAGCCGTTGACAAAGAAACGTTTAAGGTTAAGTAGAAACTATTATATCGTAGACTCTACGCAAGGTAATGGATATCTTATAAAAGCTGCTGACGACTCTATTGCGTTTTACCCTCGTCACAAATTAGTCGAAAGTAGTAATGGCAAACTTGCTGAAACCATTGACGAAGCAAAGCGAGGAGTGGTTATTGAAATACTTGGCTATAACATAAACGATGACACTTATAAAGTAAGATATGAAGGAGGCGTTGAAGATGTTATACCATCTAAGAACTTGAGAGAGTCAAAGCCAACACATCTGGGACCATTAGAGCGGGAGTACTGGAAAGACAAAAATAAGCCAGAAAGAATAAGAAAATTCTTCTAAACTTTTTCATTAGATGTAAATCAGACATGAATGAGAACAGTCATGATATCATTAATGTTTTCATAAATTTACACCAAAAATAATGTTTAGGTGAAGAGGTGAGATCTCACCCGTTTTTTCACCTCTTTTTTCACCCTCGCCGCTTAGCGGCTCAGATTGCTTTAGCTTTCTCGTGAATTTTCATGAATTTCCTTAAGATAGAAAAATAAAGTTAGTTTTATTTTTATTTATTTTTTTATTTTGTATAAAAGATATGATTTCAACAATCGGCACAACAACAATTCAAGCCACGAACGGCGGGACTCTGTCACAACTACAGCACCAAACTCGCTAGTCATGAATCCTACGTCAATGTTGGTAGAGATGAAAAGCTTTATTCCTTCTTCATATACTTTTGAAACAGAAATCCAGAAGATAAAGCAAGAACTTTTAACAAGTAATTTAGACTGTAGTGCGAAAGATGAAACAAATGAACAGTATCTTTATGAAATGGAGGACCTCATCGACCATTTGCCTAAACTACCTGAAATTCAGCAGCAAAAACTAACTATTCCTGAATTCGACGAAATTGAAGTCAAAGCAACTGACTCAGTAGAAATTAAGAAATTCATACGTAAAGTAAATTATGAATTCCTTGGTTTTCATTGCAACCATAAAGTTATGGACAAAGATTGCGACATGGTTTATAAAAATTTCTGACCTTTACAAATCCGAAGAATTTAAGACATACGATAACTTTGTTTCATTAGTTGCAAAATGTGTATGGCAGATAAGAGATAAAGATAGAAGAGGTAAGGTATGGAATGAACAGATAAAACCAGCAGCTTTTGAGTTAAAGAAAACCATTGACGCCTTAGTTGTTCTAGCTGGTTTTATTTCAATGTATAACGCAAAAACGATGCCGCAATGTTCAAAATGTAAAGCAGCAATAAGAAAATATAACTACTCAGTCAAAGAGATAGAAAGAATGCGAAACGACTATGCAGACTTAAAGAAAGAAGGCAGAAAAGCCAGCAGAAGATAAAATGGATATGTTGACATTTCTTAATAAAAACTATCCAACAGCAGAAGATTTCCTTCTGTCTGACGTCAAGAAGAAATATAAAGAACTTTCGGCATGTTAAAACATTCGATGTACTAAAAGAAGAAATAGAAGCTACGAAATTGTTTAGGATTTCAAATATACATCGTACAATTCATGTAAAACGCTTGTGAAAAAAGAGGTGAGAAAACAGGTGAGAAAATAGGTGAGATCTCACCTCTTCACCTCAACATTATTGTTATTGAATTCAGCACAAAAATAATGAATTTCATTAGTTATTTTGTATGTAAAGACAGTAATGACAAACATTGAGTTTGAAACAGTTAGAAAGATAGACAATGACACCAAAGTGGTTAGAATAGGTGATTTAAACGTAAGATACTCAAAGAAATACAACAAATATTCTTTGTCAGACATTATATCTCCATCTGGAAAGAAAACAAACGACTGGGTTAGAAATGCTTCAACTCAGAAAATTTTGACAAGAAATCCTGAGCTTATGATATCAGTAGCATTTCATGGAACAAGAGCATATCTTATAGACAAAAGTCTTATACCAATAGTTTTGTTATGGTTAGACCCAGTTGTTGGATATAACTTCATAACATATGGTTCATTCGACTCAGAACGTTGCAGTGAAGGCTTACTTTATATCGTTCAGAAACCGAAGGACTTCAACACAAAAAGATATAAGATAGGAAGGACATATAATATAACTCAAAGATATGACAGTACAGTCAATAGAGTCAAGGTTGTGTTTGTTAATGATATGAGAGCTGCTGAAACAGAACTGCTTGAAGTTTTTGAGAAAATGTATGGTGCTCCCACGAAAGGTAAAGAAACGTTTGAAGTAGATGAGATAGATAAAGCTATAAAATTATTTGACGAAGTTGCTGAAAAATACATGTAAAGCGTTTATTTTTGGTCTTTTGTGAAAGTCAGAAAATAAAGTTAGTTTTATTTTTATTTATTTTGTATGTAAAGACAGTAATGACAACATCAGAGAACACAACAACAGTTATAGTCCATGAAGCTATAAATGAAGAATACGAATACATACAAATAACAAACAACTTCGCCTCATTCGTTCGGTCAAAGACGATATGTACCAAATGCAAAGTATAATGAACGCTCTTCGTTCTACAAAGCAAGCATATCATTGGTTTGAAAACCAACAGACAAAAGAACTTTTAGAAGAATTTCCTCATATGATTGCTTCCCTCGGAAAACCGAGAGAAGAGATTCCGTACGAAAATCGCAAGAATTTGGCTCCTGGTTTGAAAGGTTATTATGTTCATAGACTTTTAGTAAACGCTGTAGCAATGTGGGCTTCACCTCGTTATGCTTGTTATATTTTCATGATGTTAGATGAACTATATAAAGCAGAACGTGGAGAGATGGAAAAGAAACTTCAAGCAAAAGATGAAGTCATTGAATCCAAAGACAAAAGCATACAGAAAAGAATACCGCGTTCGGTACCAAAAGGAAAGGAAAAGAGTTATAAGTATATGATATATACTGAAGAGTTGGAGAAAGAAGAAGATAAAGATGTGGTTATGTTGCATTTAGTCAGAAGAAACAACAAGAGCTTTTATGACTTAGCTAAAATATATAAATCTGACAGAAACTGGTTCTATCGTGAAAACTTACCGATTTCAATGACACCGAATGAGCAAATAAAGGAAATTGTCAAAAATACTCTTCCTCAAACACACTATGACATCAAAGGTTGCACAATACTTACATTCAAAGAAGACTTAACATTACTGAAGGAAAAAATAACAGAATATTTCGATAACTTCAAAGAGGAAGAATAAAAAAATCTAAGCTAATTTTATTTTTTTTATAAAATTTTATCTCATATGAAAGAACATGAATTTAGAATATTCGGAACTCATGACAGAAGAAGAGAACGAACAACATGTAAAAGATTATGCAAAATTTCTGAAGACATACAAAGCATTTAAACAATATCTAAATGCTTCTAAAGATTATGCAAAATTTCTGAAGGTATATAAAGCTTATGAAAAAGCGTATGAAAAGTTTATACATTGGGGAATTGTTGTAAAATATCGATATGAAGACTAACCAAAAATATATTTTTGCTTAAATAGCTTCAGGGTCTATTTCTTCAACCATTTCACTTCCTTCGTCAATGTCAATAGAAGCTTCTTCAACCTTTGGTAAGAATTTCTGTATAACATCTTTGTTCGTTATTGTCTTCAGAGATGAAGGATAATATTTCACATTTGTTTCACCTTTCTTATATTCTTTCTGTTCGGAAAGATTTAAAGCAATACTGAAGAAGTCAATATTAGAGTTCTTTATAACAGTATAATGAGTATCTTTGACATTCACGAAGAAACTCTTTTGTTTCAAAACTACTGCTAACTCTTGTGAAGTATAACGTTTGCGGTCAATGACGATAGCTAATGGTCTGACATACTGACCAAACTTAGATTCTTTCACAAACTTCTTGTTAAAGATAACATTAACATTTGAAGCATTATTGAACTCATTCTTGATGGCAGTAGCGAGAGCATTGTATGAAAAGAACTTGCAATCTTGCATGTGTTTCATTAAAATAAAAATATTAAATTATTTTGAAAAATAACTTAAAAAAATCTAATCTAATTTTTTCAAAAAATATTTTTTTATTTCCTACTAAAGATGTATCGGAAGTTGTCTAAGTTAGAACACTCGGAAATAAAACAACTTCTTACAGAAGCTAACATAGAAGTAGCAAAACATTACGCAACAAACAAAAAAGCACTCGCTGACTTCATTAAAGACTATAATGGTGCAATAAGTTATGATAGAATTCATGAGTTC